TAGGAAACTGCATCAGTAAATATGAATGACAGTCTTACTCTCTGCTCTTTCCAGGTTGATGGTGGATGTAACGTAAAGTTGCAGCTGGATCTCCGGGAAACAAAATGCCACACTATCAACCCGAAACCCTTTGAGGACTGTGAAATACGTGACATGGGAGAGCGGGTAAATGCAAAGCAGCTGTTTGCTTAATCCACCTGCCTGCACTGACTTCATGCAACATTCACCTCTGGTCAGAAGGTGGACGTGCTAATCTGGCCAAATTATGCAAAGTTACTTCAGTGATGTTATGAAATAAAACTGCATTCTCTGTGTTTCTCTGAAGGCAGTGAAGGCCAACTGCACTGTGTTGATGACTATAACAGATGGTGATGCCAGCATAACCAAATATGAATGTGACACACGACAAGGTGGGCTCTCTCTGCATCATAGCTGTTCACCATTTCACTGAGAAGATGCTACTGTAGATACGATCAAATACGATCATTTTTGATTACTTGTTACTGTTGGCCTGCCTGTTCAAAAACACACTCGATGTGGCCAAAGACAGACTTTGGCCAAACTTCCTCATTTTTCATAATTTGTCATTTAAGTTTGACTGCAGATAAAAAAAAGCATTTGTAAAAGCAGTACACTAATAGCAAATATTAAAACTGTGGCATTAAGTTTAGTTTTAAAAAATGCTTATTTAGAATTTAAATCATTTAACATGTCTCAAAAAAGTTGGGACAAGGGTGACAAAATACTTTGTGTGTAACGCTAAAAAAATACAATGAAGAAACTCACGATTGAAAAATAATTTCAAACAAGCATCCTAGTGAAGAGGAGTCTTTAGGAAGTAAACATGGGGAGAAGTTCATTATCTTGTGAAAGACTGCAAGGGAGAATATTTGACAGAAAACGCTAAAGAGCCTCAGCGAGTGACTTTTGGAATCCTCTGAACGTACTCAGCACAATTCTTTGTGTGTTTGCAGAAAAAACTAACTTGGAGATGGTACGCATCTGCCCTGACTGTCCTGTGCTGCTGCCTCTCAACAACTCTGAAGGTCTCAAGTCTGTTCATGAAGCGACAGCAGAATTCAACAAGAACACCAGTAACCAGCATTACTACATCTTGAAGGAAGTGGGGCGGATATCAACTGGGGTACAGAGGATCCTTTTCTTCCTCCCCCTCTTTGTGAACTCATAAGATCAGTCATTGTTTAACTTTACACTTTCTTTTCTTGTAGTACATGATGGGATTAGGAATGAACTACTATCCTGAGTTTGTACTTGTGGAGACTCATTGCCCAATGGGCTCTAGAATCATAATTGAGGCATGCATTCCACTTTGTCCTAACAGAGCTGTAAGTACAACTCATACACTTCAGAAAATCCTGAGCCACATTTTGATATGCTGTGTACTAAAATTAGTAAAGTGTTTAACTGTGTGTATTCAGTGAGATCATGAGTACCACATCCCATTAAAATTATATCACAATGTTAAAGAGTAACAAGCGATTTGCTGCACAGTTGTAAGAAGTATTAAATCAAATACAAACAATACAGATAACCAGCATTTCGATTCCCTAAATGACAAATACCTTTTTTATGGCTTATTCCTGTTAGTTCTCTCATTGTATATATCCTTCCTTTTTTAAAGCGTCATGCTTTCTGCCGTTCATCTTACTCCAGTCAAAATGGACTCCTGTCCACTGAGTGTGATTTCTATCCTGCAGAGGTGAGACCAACAGAAGCTTTGCAATAAATTTCCTTTTTTATGGCAATTTATTAAGAAACGACAACAAAAAAAACAACTCTTGCATTTGTTGTCTTTGTTCTCAACAGAATACCACTGCCCTTGGGCCTGGTGAGAAGGAGCCTGTCTGTGGACGTCATCCACATGGTCATGGTGGCCCCCCTCCACATGCTCACGACCATGGTCGTGGCCCCCCTCCACATGCTCATGACCATGGTCATGGCCCCCCTCCACATGCTCATGGTGGCCCCCCTCCACATGCTCATGACCATGGTCATGGCCCCCCTCCACATGCTGCCAAAGAAGGACGCCCTCCACATGCTCACAAAGGAGGACGCCCTCCACATGCTCACGACCATGGTCATGGCCCTCCTCCTACTGGTGGCAAGGGTAAAGGGTCATTTCACCCCCTACGGTGCATTTATCCATGTCACGGATTCCTAGTCAATCCTGATCCAGCTCTCCACCCTATTTGCCCCTGGCCTCTTCCTCACCGCCCACACAACTAATCCAGAATTAGCTGAACATTGCCAAATAAAGAACATGGTTGTTCTGCATGCAATGTGCCAAAATATAGTGCATACAAAATAAACCATCGAGGTGTTGACTACTTGAAGCTGGAGTAAGCACAATGATTGTTATTTCTGAGAATCAGCAGACTCAGAACAGCAGTTCTGAAGTTTGGTTTGATTTGGCATCTATTTAATTCCATCATGATGCTGGCAGCAGCAATGATGCACTCAGCTATGGGCAAAGGTATCAAATGCGAATCTATATGTACAATGGTTGGTGTATGGTTCACATTTTGTAAATTGAAGGTAAACTGATTTGAGGATAGAATATTACTAAACACAAAAAAACCCAGCAGAAAGCACATATTTTTATTTTGGACATTATACTAAATGCGATATTGGATCAATTTTAAGATATCCAGAAATGAAGTGAGACTGGAAAAGTTGTTTATTCAAGAGTACACTGTATACAGTAAAACACAGTTAGGGGCCAAAACATAAGAAAAACAGAACAATTTTATTTCACATACAATAATACATTCTCAGTGATCACTAGAATTAACCATAAGAATCACTCATTAAAACAAATTTATTTAATGCAACAGTAGCAGTTTTGTACAAGAGCCGAAGACGTGACTTGATGGTTTTAAGTCCATTTCCATTGTAATCTTTCTGCAGATCCTGAAACTTCTGTTTTATGCAGAGAAGTAAGCTGAAGCTATAGATGGCTTTGTACTCTGAGGAAACTCTGAACACAAAGCAAGCAAACAGAATCAAATTACTGTTACTTATTATCACACGCATTCAGCATCTCAATCAAAAAAACAATTTTTTCTTCGTATTTTTTTTTAAAGGCACCTAAATTAGCGTTGTTGCCCCACAGATTTACTGCTGCATCCCAAAAAAAAAGTTACACTACTAAGCCATGAAATGAAAAACTTGACGCACTGAAATTAATATGTGGTAGATGCTGATCTTTAAAAGCTGAGCACTTTTACCTCTTTGACGTGGATTAGATGAAAGACCATAGATCGAGATGCAATCATCTCTCTTCTCAAAGTACTTCGAATCCAGACCAGCAGAGTCTCCACTAAGGACAAAGAGAAAACACAAGCCTGAGGAACACAAAATCACTTTGCATTCCTGACCAAAGAGACATATTCACAATGAACATTTAAAGCAAACAAACAAAAATACCACTGGTATTGTCGTGGAATCAAAATCATTTTAAATATATAACTGCTGTAAATTGCATACTGCTATAAAGAAACACATTTATCAGCCTGGATAGAGACCTTAAACTTCTTCCTTCCCTGCTAAAGCAAGAGAGACAGCTATAATGATAGAGAAGTGTATTTCAGTTGTACACAAAAGTACAATATCAGACAGAAATGGACCAGATAGTATCTGTAGCAAACTTTTACAGGAAAGTTAGTGAGATTTTGTGCCTATACCTGCATAAAACAGTGCTTATTATTCAGGTGAACACCCAGGTTCCTATAAGAGTCCACTATCTCAATGTCCACTTCCTGGATTTTCACCGGTGTAGTGCTTCCAATTAGTACATGACCTGCTCTGCCTCCTGAGCTAGACCCAACCCATGTCTGAGAAGTGCACTAAATTCAGTTATACTAACATTATTTTCTTTATATTCACATTTGATATGAGATTAATTACAATAAATGAATACCAATAAAAAAAATAACATATATCAATAAATGTGTCTAAATACTTCCATTACTCAAAGATAATACATTTTATAAATTGCACAGTTTTACTTTGGCTCATTTGTCTTTGAGTGTAATGTATACTCAGTCATACTAAGTCAACAAACTCACATCTGTCTGTTTGATGACTTCCCGAGGTGCTCATCAGTAAGATTGATCCCAGCAGCCGCCATGGGAGATACAACAGGTTTGGCTGTCTGAGGATAAAACTGAAGTGCCAGAAAAAATACAGAGATATCTTCAGGTGGTGTTAGTGCTGTTGATCTGCTATAATGTGCAAACATAAGACTGTTGCACAAAGACACAGAGAAGCCCCTTCAGACCTTCTCTCTACTTCTCCATCAGCACTCTGAAAGCAAACGTCACGTCAGTGATGACATACTGCTGCTCACTGATCATCGCCCCTCTTATTAACTTAGCTTCAACAACTCTTTCCCTTGGCGCAGCTTTCTCTCTCTGTAGTTACTACAGCTCTTCACCTGCTTTCTTAAACATTTGTCCCAGTACGCTACTTCTCTTTCTCAGGCATCCCGTCATTCTCTAAGCTTATGTTAAACTAGACGTGATTGTTTTGAATTGATTATTTCTTTATTGTAACAATGCTTCTTGTGAATAATGCATTTGTTGGTCAAACCCACGAAAAACCCACCAAATCTTTTCTGCATTTATTACTTCCAGGGTGGATTATTAGGTTCATAGGCTCATGTTGATGTGTATATTGTTAAATGACAATTCGTTTCAGGTCATTTAATGGAGAAGTTCGAAACTAATATAATGAATAGTTAATAAATTACTGTCTTCTGTGCGTAATTAAGTAACGTACAAAAAAAGAATGGGATGCCATCCCATATAGGTGTGTGACTGAGCAGGTGACCGGCATAAGGAGGTGGTGCAGGTGGTGCCAGGCTGTTGTGGCTGTGTACGGTCCTTCCACATGCTACTGAGGCCCCTTTTTGTTGAATGAATAAATTGCTAAATGCCGATATGTCTCCGACTTCAATCACCCAATCTAATAAATGTGGCGCAACCCACATGCCCAGTGCTGCTGTTCAACCTGCAGATGCATTTTTCTCACACACCATTTAGTGTAACAGCAATTACACAGGCTTTCCAACAATATAACATTTATTGCCAACAAGCATTGCTTCAAGAAAGAAACTGACCAAATTGAAATTTTCTTGCTTTGCCGTCTCTTACTGCCATAATCTCTCACTCAATGACACAAAACATATTTATATTGAGCTGAATGGCACAATAGGAATGAAGCTTGTAGTAATATCTAAGAGGAAGGATGAAGAATAAACATCATCAGTATGTTGTCACCTACCCCAAGTCCTGCTGTTGTGGTTGAGACTGCAGGATTCTCCAGTGATTCCAGACCCCGTGCTTTTCTGGACAGCTGCTTTTCATTTAGCTGCTTGTTAAGCCAATTTATAACTGTGGTCAAATGAAAATAAACACACTAGTAAATGTGCTACACTTAAATGGCAACTTTCATAATGTGAATGAGATTGCTATTCACAATACAAATTATTTGTCATTCACACATTTCTCAAGGCAGCCAAGGCAAGGAGCAGATACTCACAGTGCATCTGGAAAGAATGTTTTTTATGTTATGTCTTATTCAATAATGGAATTAATTCATTTTTCACCTCAAAATTCTACAGACAATATTCCATAATGACAAAATGTAAATCAATTTGTTGATTCATGTATAAACAGGGACTCAGAAGGAGGCAGACGCAGCATCTAAGGGAATGGGTTTTGGAGAGAAGCTGCAGAGAGGCGTGTAAGACAAATGAATCTCTGTTGCTTTGTCCCAACCCATCATGTTCTGGGGGTTTTAATAAATTTGTCCAGATTTCTAGAAATGAGAGCTCCTCCATCCACAATGGGGTGGATGCTGTCTAAAAAGACCAGATTTTCCCCTGAATCCTCTTTGTCCTTGGAAGTCTTCAAATAGAATCTGAATACTATTTTCCAAGGCTTTCAGATCTCTCTGACACCACTTTTATTCTGTTTTAGCTATTCTGGTCTTCTCATTGGATGATGTTTGCATGAGTATACGTATACATGTATTTTATGTTCACGTATGTGTGCTTGTGTACATTTTTAATTCTTTTTTATCATATCATCCCTCTGTTCAGCCCTTTGGCCGACACTTGATGTCTTTTAAATGTGCTATTTAAATAAAGATGACTTGAAAGTTTCCCAATCATCTTTAGAGCCCACTGATTTTTTACTACTCGGACAGCCAGCAATCAAAGGGAAATAAGTGCCTAAAAATGTCACTCCTGGTCCGATTGAGGAGAGTACCAGAGAAAATGACTAAGCCCAAGATTGTTTTGGTAAAGTTAGTCCCCAATTCAATATTCATTTAGTTACCTTCGATTGATGCAACCAGGTGTCATTACTGTTGACATGAATTATAATTTTACAAAATGTACATTTAACTTTAACCAGCAGTTTAAAAATTTCCCTGAATGTCACCTGCTCTGGCCCCTGGAAGACAACTATGTCATTTCAAGGGTCTGAAGTGAGGTCAGCCTAAGCTGCAAAAAGGCTACATTTACTACAAGTATTGTTATTACAAAAGGAGGCAGAGGAGTAACTAAATATCTGACACACTGAGCAGGAAACTGCAGGAGGGACAGGTATAGAGGCCATGCTGCTAGCGAGTTGGCTACAAGCTAAGCTAGGCTAGGCTAGGCAGGCAAATCACTGTGAATACAATTAGCGGGTGAATCAACAGATTGTGCTTTGGATAAAGCTCACAAAGTTTACACTAAGAAATAAGATGCTATTTAATTAATCTGGCTAAGCAAAGACATAGTGTTTCTTCTTCACTCATCTATAGTTTCCCCTCCCCCCCCCATCTCTCTGCAGATGGCTGAGCCTGGTCCTTCCCACTGTCATCAATTTCTTGCTAATGGCTGTGTGATTGTTGGTGTTTCTAATATTGCCAAATCACAAATGTTGTTGTTAACGAGCGCTATATAAATAAAATGTAGTTGTAGTGTACGTCGCCATATGGAAGTGGACTCCATAAACACTGATGGATTGAGAAGCTTTGCTGGATTTGTAAACCTTAACGATTTTGAAGACATGAAAGTCAGTTTTCAGAGGGTCCATTGAACAGGACTAGCTTCCTTACCATTCTCATTAGTTTTCAGCACTTCTTTGGTTTCATTTAGCTTCTGTACCGTGGCCTCCAACTGCTCATTTAATTTTAAAATCTGAAAAATAAAAAGAATATTTCGCACTGGTTGTTATTCTTGTCAGGAACCTGAGGCTACATTTCACACAGGCTCACCAAATCTGGACAGCAGAATATTGGAATAACAACGCCTGGTCTAATGAGTCTCAATTTC